CCCCTTCTGCCGTCGTGCCTACGCGCTGTTGGCCATGTTGCAACGTTTTCTCCACCACCCTAGGACGACCCACACGATACGATCCACGGTTCCCCCGATGGCGATATCATCACCTACGGCGTTTCGACGCTACGCTTCAGCGAGACCTCCGTCATCGTCGATGCTGCACCCGCCGACACCGACACCTACGACAACGGTAGCGACAACAACAACAACTTCGTCGGGCAGGGGGACTCCGCGGAATTCTTTACGGTCGAACCGCAAGGGCACCTGGGGCCTTACGCCGACACAGTTGGTCCCTTGCCCGACGATGGAACGGCGGTGAGGACCAACGTTGTTGTATGGTCGGTGGTGTTGTTGCTGTTCGCGAATTTTTGTTGTGTGTGTGTGTGTTTGTTTATGTTTATGTTTCAGCATCGACCGTGCCAACCCGTTGAGCAATGAAAATACCTCGGTATCAGCGAGTGGAGTTCAAGCATGTCCGCCTTCCAGAATGCCACACTTTTTTTCTATCTCTCTACAAACCTTTTGCGAGATACCCAACCCCAAAGCTTGACCCGAGTCCAGTATGTGTGTACGTCTTGCATCGCCACCGTCGTCACTGACGTCGCTCCGGAGAAGGGATGGATGCTTTCGGAGGGGTCAACAGCAGTCGCAGCAACAATAAATCGGCAAACACTGCCCCCATCTCGATTATGTCTCTTCGAGCCGTTCTTTGCTTGTTGCGCGGTGGTGTCCTGTGCGCAGAAATGTCGTGGTTTCAACGCAGATGCGGTCGGCAAGCTCGTTTCACTGGCTGGTTTGTTTTGCACTTGTACTGTTGGAGAAACTGGGTGGCCATTACCAACCCCTTATTGTACTCTCCAAGTTGCTTCTTGCCTGTCTGTTTGTCTGTCTCTCCAATTATTTATCTCTCCACGTCATGTCTCCCTGTATCGCCACGAAGGAGGACAAGCACTCCCAGGAACTCGTGAAGGAGGGAGGAGCGTTGGACGTCGATGGCGAGATCCGCCAAACGGCCTCGGTCATGAGAGCCGTCCTTGTGTTCGATGTCCAGCAGCCGGAGGAGCGGCACACAGTCCCCATCCGTCAGCTCGATGAGACCGTCGAGCAGTCGGAGGAGCAGCAGATATCTTCCATCCGTCAGCTCTTTGAGACCGTCCGGCAGCCGGAGGACCAGCACACTGTCCCCATCCCTCAGCTGCACACTGTCCCCATCGCTCAGCTCTTTGAGAACGGCGACAGCAACAACCCCCCAACCTCTCCCGCCATCCGCCCCTCACCTACCCCAGGGGACGAGCACAGCACCGTTGCCAATGCCGACACCGGTGTTAACTCCAACGATACCCCGAAAACTACCGGTACTGCCACCGCAACCGAGATGTCACGCCTAACCCCAGCGCTTGCCGTCGTCGATGACGTCCTCCCTCTCTATACCCTCGAGTCCTGCAACGAGCTTCGGTTCGAGCGAACGCCCATCCAAGGCGTGTCTGGCGTGCTGCTCCTCGACGATGATATTGTGTGCACCGAAAAACGGGTGAGCGAGCTGTTAGTTTTGATAGTCGCTGTCGCAGTATCATTCTCAGTGACAATGATGGGCTAGCCTGGTCTCGTCTCTTGTCTCTGTTGCTGCCTCTCGATAACGTCTCTTTGCCTCTCTCTCTGTATCCCCATTTCTTTTTGGTGGTTCAGGACGAGGCGCTGGAGCGTGCGTAGAAGTGCGTTCCACATTGCCCAGTACTAGCCCGAGGCTTGTCATTACAATTTCAACGGATTGCTGTCGTAGAGCACTGCCTCACTCCACTCCCACAAGCGAGTTTTGTTTTTCTGCACGGGATGGGACCGTCAACACCGAGACGTGCACGAGACAGGGCAACGTTGACATGGGTATACCAATTTTACCATCGTCATTCTCTCTTTCGTTCTCGTCGTCAGCATCAGGTAGTGCACCAGAAAAGCGGCAAGAGCACCGTCGTCGACGAGAAAATCTTCAACTCTTTATTGCAACAGCTTTCGTTCCTTGCTCAATCTGTCCCGGAACCCCTGTTTCTTCGCCTTGAATCCTCGCCCTTCCGACGTCCATGAAAATCGCAGATCCTCGAGGTCGACCACGACGTGATCGTCGTTTCCGACAAGCCCGATCTCCGCTTGAAGGGCGTGCACTTCGTCGTCCATGAGAAGGTTTCGTTGACCTTCGTCGTGGCCACGATGGTCTTGGAGAAGATCGAGGTACGCACTTATGCGAGCAAACCAATCTTTCGCTTGCGGGGATGATAGGCAATGGATAATGCTGGAAGCTGAGCATGGGGGGGTGTAGGGGGGCTTTGCGGGGTGTGTACCGCATATATTTTGTGTATGCGCATAGGCAGAACCTGAGCAGGACTTTAGGATGTATGATTGGTTGAAACCGTGTCTGAACACCTCACCCAGGTGGGGCGGGACGCCCCCTCTCCCCGATCTTCTCGTTCCACTGATGGAGCGACGGTTGCGAGTGCGTGGAGTTATGGCCGTACCTACCCGATCATCCGGATTCACGTTGGCAGGGCAGGCGGAGGTCCACCCGGTTCTCTTCCGCTTTTTCCCTGTCCGAAAACACTCGACCAACAAGAATGAGATTTATGAGAGACGTGCAGTATTATATAGATAGAAATACAGCAACAACGAAGAGAGAGCGGTCTCGGGAGGAAAGGAGGATACCACACACCCACAGGATATCCGTTGGTGGGACACACGGCGGCGTCACTTGAAGTGTGCGGCATGGTCATCACGTGTGGTCGTGATAGCCGTTGCTACTGCTGTGGCTGTGGTTGCGATTGTTGGTATTCGGTGTCTTCGCTGTCGCCGGTTGTTGTGAAGCTTGTTGGTGGAGTTCCGAAACGAAATAAGCCATTTCTTTGACCGAAGCCTTCCTTCCTCCCTCCCTGTTCTTTCCGCCGCGCAGGGGGAATCCGGCGAGCTCTTTACGGTGGAGCCGCAAGGTGTCCTGGCAATGAGTGCTGACAAGTGGAGCCCATCGCCCGAAATCGGCACGGAGGTCAGTGCTTATGGTATGGTATGGTATGGTATGCCCTAGGATGTTTTGTTTCGGTGGTGCTATTCTACATGGCACTGGCAATGACCTTGTTTGGCATTATTGATGGTGCTTTGGTTGTGGGTCTTGCTCTTTTGGACGCAGTTGTGGTCGAGCTCAGTGTGTAGGAACGTTTGTTGCTGCTTTGTCTTCATACACTGGCATCGGCCGACACATCAGGTTTTGTTTTTCATCGCGGCATGAGCTTTTTGTGTTACCGACAACATACATGAGGTACATGTGCATAGGCTCATGGGCGAAGAGGCCTTTCTTACTACTATGCTGTGTATTGAGCCTCGTTTGGCCGGAGTGTCACCGGATGTTCTCAAGGTCTTCTCTGGGCTTGCAGGCCGGAAAGCTTAGAGCAACTCACCCCCCCCCCCTCTCCATCCCGATCGCCGCCCCAGGAGGACGTGCACTCTCTCGTGGCCCTGAAGGGGGGGACGTTCGAGCTCGACGGTAAGGCCAGCTTCACGGCCTCGACCATGACGATCTCCATGAGGAACAAGAACGAGGAGAAGAAGCTGAAGAACAACGACAACGAGGACAACAGAGGCACTTGCCAATCCACCGTGGAGCACCCCTCTACGGCCACGGACGACAACCACAACGCTGCTGCCCCCGGTAATGCCGACGCCGGTGTTATCGACGTCACCTCCGGCGGCGGGCACGCGTACTCGAACTCGATCTCCACGACACCAAGATTCCATGACGACGCTGAGTGGGACAAGCTGCCGAGGAGGAACCTGGGCTCCTGTGACGAGCTCGCCCTCGATCGGAACCCGCCACATGGCAGAGTCTTCATCACCGGCGACATCGTTTGCGACGTGAAGCGGGTGCGAACGAGTGGTTTCTTGTGTATTTTGGTCGGTGTACGTATACCAAGGGGCGGAGCGTGATGAGTCGGCATCATAACGACTTGCTCTTCCTCCCCCCTCTCTCTTTATTCCGCGTTATTTGTGCCCGTGTGTCCGTATGACCTTTCGGAATTTTGAGGAATCAACCGTCGAAGCTGAAGAGGGTTGTATCGGCGGACACAATTGTTGGCTGGTCCTTGCCGTATGTGCTGCGCGATTCAGCCCTCCTCGTTGGAGACGTCCATTCTTCCCTCCCTCCTTCCTTCATCACCGCACATTGATTAAGAGTTTGTTGTGTAGAGATGACGCTGTTGTATGGTCATGTTGAGGAGGTATGGCACAGCAGAGGTTAGGGTAAAGGTTAGGGTGACCGAAAATCAACGTATCACGACCCCAACCCCTCCCTTCTCAGTCCATTGACTCTTTTCCACATCCCACATCCAACATCCCGACCGAATCCCAAGGTGATTGAAATCAGAACGGAGGCGATGATATACGCCGCCGTCGACGACTTGTACGTGCGGGGTGTACAATTCCACGTGGAACAGACTGGCGGGCTGGGGATCATGGTGGGCGCCATGACCATGGAAGCTCTTGAGGTGAGGATGATTGATATGTGCGGTTCCCGCGATATTTGCGAAACGTTATTATCTGTAGGGTCGCAATCTGTGGGGTCGAAGCACCCGGTATGTCCCACGAGGCCCATAACACACTGAGCTTCCTCGAACCTCAATTCGTTTGACACCATTTCTCCTTGGGTCAAAACTTGCCGGGTTGGATAGGATTGCCACGAGGCCGCCATCGCGATGTTGACGTTCGTTTGATGCTCGTGGCGGCGACGGTGGTTGTGATACTCTGCCCTGATGTTCGCAAAGGATATCAACATATCATTCAACGATGCCTTGTTTTCGTTGCTGTTGTTGCTTGTGCTGTCTGTAACTGTTGCTATTTTCTTGGTATTCTATTTGTGTCGTGTTCCATTCTGTTACTCTATTCTTCCTCGGGCAGGGGGACTCCGCGGAATTCATTACCGTCGAACCCCAAGGGCACCTGGGGATGTTCGCCGACAGCGTTGGTCGGTTGCCTGACGACAGCATGGCGGTGAGGAGCAATGGTGTTGTTGTTCTTGTCGGCGGTGGTGCTGGGGGTGTTGTAGGTTTCTCGCATCGACCTCGCCAACCCGTCGACCAATCAAAAGGCGTCCGTGCCAATGGGTGAAGTACAATTCGGTGCGTCTGTGCAACACCTTGGGCGGGAGAAACGTCCCCAAAGCTTCACGCCAGTCCATGCGTGTATACGTGTTGCATCATTGCCGTCGTCGCTGAGGCCGCTGTGGAGGATGAATGATTTTGAAGGGGTCGACAGCAGTCGCAGCAACAATATATCCGCAAGCTCTACCCCGAACTCCGTGTTTGTTCTCACCAGCCTGATTGATGCCGAATGTGAATTACGTTTCCTTTTGCGCGGTGATATCCGGCTCACCGACGTTTAACGAACTATGCTGTGATGTTTGTTTTCAACACAGATGCTGCAAGCGCGGTTCACGTTAATAATACTAGCGCGGTTCAATATAATAATTTGAAGTACGCCGATGCTTCGCGTTCCCCTAGCTCAAGGAACTGGGCGACCGTGTTACCAACCCTTTGTTCTGCTATCCCTTTTGCTTCTTCTCTGCCTGCCTGTCTGCCTGTCTGTCTGTCTGTCTGTTTGTCTGTTTCGTCCCCCCCCTCCTCTGTGTGTGTGTGTGCGTGTGTCATTTCTTGATCTCTCCTTGTCATATCTCCCTGTATCCTCACGAAGGAGGACAAACACTCCCGGGTACTCGTGAAGGCGGGAGGGGCGTTAGACGTCGACGGCCAGGTCCGCTACACGGCCTCGGGCATGAGATTCGTCCATGAGTTCGAGGACCAGCAGCCGGAGGACCAGCAGAGATACTCCATCCCTCAGCTCGTTGAGACCGTCGAGCAGCCGGAGGACCAGCAGCGAGTCGTCATCCCTCAGCTCGTCGAGACCGCCGAGCAGCCGGAGGAGCAGCCGAGAGTCCCCATCCCTCATCTCCTCGAGGACGCCGAGCATCCGGAGGACCAGCACACTGTCCCTATATCTCAGCTTGTTGAGAACGTCGAGCAGCCGGAGGACCAGCAGCGAGTCGTCATCCCTCAGCTCCTCGAGACCGCCGAGCAGCCGGAGGAGCAGCCGAGAGTCCCCATCCCTCAGCTCCTCGAGAACGGCGAGAACAACACCCCTCCCGTCCCCCCTTTCTTGCGCTCCTCACTCAACCAAGGGGCCACGCACCACACCGCGGGTAGGGCCGACTCAGGTGGTAACTCCAATGCTTCCCAGAGAGCAAAGAGGCACCGACGTTCCCTTTCCCTGGACGGCATGCATCACCTCCCGCTGACGGCGATCGACTCGTGCGAACATCTGCGCTTCGACCGGACCACCGTTCTGGGCATCCTCACCATCGAGGGTGACATCGTGTGCGAGGAGAAGCGGGTGAGGACGGTGGTCGATCTGTTGTGGTGCTCATTTTCGTTGACGTGTTCTTCGCCCCCCCCCCCCCCCCCCCCCCCC